AAGTTCAAGGTTAATTTAGGTTGGCCCTGACATTTAGGGTGGTGTAGAAACCCTTAATTACCAGCATATTTTCTTCTTAACTAGAATATACATCAAAATTATTGTTGTTATATTGCTAGTTAAGTATAACTGGTTAAGTATAACTTATAATGATATTGGCATGAACTGTCTGATGTTACCATCTGCTAAATGAATAAATGTAAAGGTAATTTCCAACAGAAAGAAACAAAAAAAGGAAACAAAGAAAAGGTTCAACTGAAACAACGAAACAACATTAACTTTTTTATTGTTTAAGTTGTGCTAGTAAAGTTAGCATATTTTGCAGCCACTCTTTCATGGTTTATCAGTAACGAGGCTCCATTTTGTAATTATTTTAAAAGTGCCTGTGACCAATCCTTACATTGTGATGAGCGACTCTTCACCAGTGGAGGGCACGTCAGTGATCATGCGCTGTGGCCTGGAGAATGGCACGGGGCCTATTAATTACATATGGGAACAGGAGAGCCGGGAAAGCCAGCTCACCACCGTAGCCGAGATCTATGATGACAACCGATTTAATGTCACTGATGTCAACCGAAATCACACTGGATGGTACAGGTGTATTGCCAGCAACCAGGTCAACCAGCAGCGCAGTGACCGAGTCTGGCTTGACACCATTTGTAAGAGACTCCCAAGTACTCTTTGAAATACACAACAAAGTTTGGTGCATCATATCGTTTTAGTGTGTGCAATTTCAAAAGCAATATCCTAGGTAAAAATCTATGGCTCTTTTTCAGTTGGTCCAGACCAGCCTCAGATTGATGTCACCCCTTTTTCAGTGACGGAGCGGGGTTATTCTGCCTTGGAAAGAGAGACAGTTTCTCTCCTGTGTCAAGCTTCTTCTAATCCCCCAAGTCAGTACGTCTGGTTCTACAATAACTCCCAGGTGTTCACGGGTCCACAGTACACCATCACAAGGATCCTTCGTATGCACACGGGCCACTACGCATGCCTGGCTCAGAACACTTACCTCAACACCCGCTCCAGGAAAACCATCACCCTCACCGTTTACTGTGAGTGCTCCCACAAATCCCTGCCTGGATTCTGGTGGCCACCTTTGCTGTTTCTTCAACCTGTCCTTCTATAGCTTCCTCAAGTTTCCTTCTGTAATTTCTTGCTTTTGCTTCCTCTTACACCTTTTCCTTCACACTAACACGCTCACACGAAGGTACAGACAGTTACGTAAACAAAGGTGTCAGACTTCCAGAGTGGCCGATTGTCGACGTGCATCTGGAGGAGGTGAAGGACAGTTCTGAGAGCTGAAGGTATACAGCTGGTGTGATTGTTTCTGTGCTATGACAAGTCAAGAAAGGCCTGGTGGCCTTGTATTGTTTTGTCATAACACTTCAATCTTCCCTTCATTCCTTGAATGTACATCTATTCTTGACTGACCGGGGTACTAACAACCCCACCAATACTGTATACTAACACAGCAACACCTTCTCATGATATGACTTTCAATTTGGCTCAGTTATAGCAAGAATAAGGCCTATCCTAATGGGTGATGTTTTTTAACAGATACCAATGCAGTATTTCAGTACTCCTGAACTTTCTAGAAGTCGACTAGCTGTTACCACTGTGTAGATAAATAATAGACACCTAATCTGACCTCTTCGTTTGGCTCAATTTCAAGAAAGCTTCTCTGCCTCTATCAGTTTCCTAAATTGGCCCAAATTACCTAAGATCCATTTCACTGCCCTGTGTTACACAATGATTTTGTTCCCACAGATCCTCCAGATGGCGCTCCGACTTGCTCAATCCTACCAGTTAACAATCACACTGACCTGGCCCTCCACTGTATCTGGGAGGGCGGTATCCCTGCAGCCTCTTTGAGATGGACCCCATATGTGTTTGGAGAAGAGCGCGAGGGACTCACAAACATTACCAAGATTCAGAAAGGTCAAGAGACTGCAAACAACTCTATCTTCATGTGCCAAGGCTCACACATCGCATCGAATGAAATCACGAGCTGCAGTGTCAGAACGTGTAAGTGTAAAACCAAGAACACCTTGTTCACTTTGAGATCAACAAAAGATCAGTAAATAGTTTGTACATTCTTTTGATCCCAGGGATGCCCTACGGTGAGCCAAAGTGTTCTGCATATGCAACTCGAAACAATGAGTACCTAATGCTATCCTGCTCCTGGGAAGGTGGGTTTCCTCGAGCCCTGGTGTGGTGGGCCTCCAGCTCAGGGAACATGCAAGGCACATCTGAGGAGAATGCAAACATCCTGGTTTTGCGGTCAAGCGCTACCTACAGTGGCAAAGACTTTGTATGTTATGCAAAACATCCACTGGCTAAGGAGACCAAACAGTGTGTTTTAAAACTGGGTAAGAAAGAATCGATTATTATTTTTCTGCACTTTTTTAAAACTGTGAAACAATCCTTTTAAAACAGTCTTTTTTTACTGTCTTTAGAGGCACCAGTCCTAGTGACCCAGCGCAGTATGATGACCGTCTATGAGGGCAGTGATGCCCAGCTCACCTGTATCTTGAGTAGAAACTACCCCGTCACTGAGATCACCTGGTACAACAACCTGAAACAGCACGTGAATGAGATTCCTAAGAAGTACGTCCTGGAGCGAGCTGCTGCCTGGACCAACTTGACAGTGCGGGAAACGGACAGCAAGACAGACAGTGGCCATTACTGGTGTTCAGCCACCAATGCTGTCGGTGGGGCAGAGATCCCCATTATGCTGATGGTGAAGAGTAAGCAAGCCTGTAAATATTACACTGATAATCTCAGTACTTGAGATACTTATAATACACAGGTATACTATACAAGGTAGATAACACAAGGATGCATGCTGTCTTTCTCAACTCCAGTAGCTCACTCATTGGTTATATTAACTGGTTTTACATATATATGATTGACTTTTTAATTCGACCTGTTTCAGGGTACCCAATGCCCCCAAATATAAGCATCAGTAGGATTATTTACAACAGTCGTCAAAGGACAGATGTTGACCTAGAGTGGAATCTCCAGACCGAGGGTGACCTCACCGGGTTCTTTATCGAGCGCCAGAGGCTCCCTGAACCTGTGAAAAAAAGAAACAGCGACCTTCCCTGGCAGAAACTGGTAGATCTAGAGCAAGATTCCCGACACTACCAAATCAACAATCTGGATCCCATCGGAACCTATGCATTTCGTGTTACTGCCATCAACCACCTCACTACTGGAAACCCTTCAGAGATGAAGAGCCCAGGTGAGAACACTTACAAAGGGCATTGAATATCAGTTATAATCAGTGCACATCTAAACATGGATAACAATAATTTACATCAAAATACCCAAGAAAGGCCAGATATAAATCGATGCTGTTAGAAAATGTTTAAGATTGGAGTGTTTTTTTGTTGTTGCGGAAATTACCTTTTTACTATTTTATTTAAATTTTTTACCACTGAAAATCTAATGCTGTTGTTTATTTTGTTGTCCATTCAGGTGAAATGCACAATCACTTGACCACTTCCATACCCACACATTCTTCTGATCCTTTCCTCTTACATGATCTGCCTGTTAACTTGCCCTTTGATCTTTCCTGAGGTTACTTTATCTACTCATTCTGTCTGATAACTTGCCTCTAAAGAAAGTGCGTATAATCGTATATGCTAATAATGCTGAAACAATGAATTAACCCAAATGTTTAAGCTTATTCCCAAAAACCAGTAATATACATTACAATTGTACAATATTATGAAGTAAGCTCTTATAAAAAATGTCCAATTGCCATGGTAAACTATGCAATTGTGACACTGATTTTGTGAAGCTGAAATAGGTATGCTGTCTTCCAGCCGACCCTCCCTTCAATGCCTACCCAGCTGTGATTGGGGCAGCCATCGGGGGCATGATCATAGCAACAATAATCACTATACTGCTCTTCATGTATGTGGTACGGAACCGCAACAATAACTCACGTGAGTTACACATCTTTAATGTTACAATAAATCAAATATTGGTTGGCTAACACTCTAACATGGTTGCATGCTAATACAACTTTCACACTTTGCAGGGCTTCATGACTTGATATTTGGAAGGTATGTTTAACAATTGATATTTTACAGTTATTTGATTGTTGTTGTTTTTTTTTGCTACTTTAATACTATTTGTGATTTTCAGGCAGAACAGCCAGTCTAGAGAGAACATTAACTTTCCCGAGGATGAGGTTAGTGGAACAGCAGAGGGGGAGAGAGGTACAGGACAGCCAAGCCAATCAGCTAGTCCAGGTACCTCATGCTGTTGACACTTGTTCATCCAACTCATACCAAAAACAAAATGATAATGTTTCACTTTAACAATGAAAATAAAATACTTTTTCTTGTAGCGGCATCAATGGCACTGCCAAGGCCAACTGCAACACCTACAAACCTTCCCCCTGGCGAGGAGCCAGTCAACGTAACTATAACTGTCATGGCCTCAAGCTAAACACAAGGCTGACCATAATCATGTTTATTACCATACATTTACTACAGGATGATGCACTTTGGGGATCAGAAACACATTTTCATCAATAGAAGTAAACAAAGAAAGGAAATATTTTTGTGTGTGTTGAATGTAATTTTATACTAATATCAATTTAAGAAATTACTAGCAAGCCTCTCCCATTTCGATAACAGCTCCAGATCAGCTAATAAACCTGGTTTTGGTATGACTAAAATACAAGCAAATGTTGTCAATTAACAGCAGGATTGTTATAATTTTTGCTACATTTAACGGTTTACTTCTGAGGTAATACAAAGCACATTTTCAGCAATCTTTCTACATCGATACACACATTACTTGAGTACCTTTGCACTCACCTTCCACGTGTCTATTTACAATGAACTAATGAACTAAACTGATTTCAGCTGCTTCTAAATAACATGGGATGAGATAAACTATGAGTTTGATATTTTTGAACAAATTGTCCTTGCAAGCAAAATGCACTCTTTTCTGAACTCTCAACGCTTAATAAAATGAAGGTGGAACATTACTGGTGTTTATTTAATTCTCTCTAGACATTGAACTGTCTAAAGCAAGTTGCACTATGGTCATGTTACATGCTCCAAAAAAAGATCTTTACATTTTTTCCTTTCTACATTTTATAATTTAAACAGCTGACTGAGCCAAACAGCATGATTAATGACAGATTTATTTTCAATTTTGTTTTTCACATTCAGAATCTCACATCTTTTTAAGGGGCAGAAATTAAACCCTCTCTTAATAAGTAACGGACCACGAATGAATAGCTTCTCCTCAATCCTTCATACACAAATCAGAAAAACAGACATATACAACTACAACATAAATCTAAACACGTTCCCCGATCATAAAACTTAGTGTACCTCTGTACACATGTGTGAAAGCAGACTTTGCATGTAAAAATGTGGACGCATCAATTCAAAGGCAAAACCTTTTGGTTACTAATAATGTCAGCCAGCTTCTGTTTTAGTTTCAGGAATGTCCTCTTGAATTCCAAACCGTCGCCCTGGAACACAAAAGAATAGTTTTGAGAAGACAGAGCTTAACTATTCATATCAATGATATTATAAATATTATTCTTCACTCAAAGATTCTTTGATATTAGTTTTAGTTGTATGAGCAGTTAATTTAGAATCATCATAGTGTAGTATATGCAATTAATGGTAATGATAGCATAGAAGTAATTCAATGGTTTGGCTTGTTTTCACCTTTGACAGACGGAAATCTACTAAAATGCGTTCCTCCATTTCCAGGAAGTGCACTATGAAGATCAACTTGTTATTGCGACGATCCATTGTGGACACTGTCGCCTATGAATCAAAAGAGAGAAAAAGAGATAAGATCAGTGCATTATACGGTTCAAGATTTAGTGCAAGGATTTCAAATGCTTTAAATGTTACAACTGATTGTTTTATCTAGTTACCTGATTGGTGCAGCTCTGTTTCCATGTGTGACCCATAGCAATACAGGCATCACGGAGAGCAATGCAAGATGGTTCTGCCTTTACCGTAGTAAAGAACCTGGTCATCCTTCTCACCAACCGCTGCCATGGGCTCTGAAAATAAATAAACAAGCATTTTTTTGAAGTATTTAACAAAAATCCATTATTCATTAAATGAATGGGTACACAAATATAATAATAATTACCCATAACCAATTAGTTTAATAATTCAAAATTACAACAATATGAGTGACACAAAATTGAAACACTACTATGAAATAAGAGCAAATATTTCTGACATAACTGAGCCATAATAAATACTTCAGCATACTATAACTGATACTCATTTTATAGAACAGGTTACCTGGCTGGCACCCGGTGTGCCAAGCAGTTGGCTGCCCAGCAGCATGTGGTCAGGACAGGCAGGCTGTGAAAAGCTGACACTGACATCAGTGTGCACCGTAACCTCCTTCTCCTCCCACAATCCCTGCGGCTCAGGCTGAGAGCTGGAGATCTGTGCTCTTTCATCACTGCAGAAACACACAGGTAGTGATGGATGTGCTTCTTAGACCATAATACAGCACTTACTGTACAATTTGTATTTGTACTAAATATCAAGTCAGCTGTCTTGTGTATTGATTTGTCGTACTGACCTGTTTTTTCGTCTCAACTGTGAGAGCTCAGAGTCAGCCCTATGCATCTTGTTTTCTGGTGTTTCACTCTGTCGTTTTACTGCTGTGGTCAAAAATTCAGATCCAAAAGAATCACAAACATTTTCGAAAGACTCACAATCACAATTACTGTGCTGATCTTTGAAAGCAGTACCTGATTTGAAACTACTGCTAAACCAGCGGTGTTTCTTAATTTCTGGAATGGTGAACCTGTCCTCTGGATTATGCAGTAATATCTTAGATAGCAGACCTGAAAAGAAAATTAAACACAAACTTCAGCATCACAGGTGTTTTTAAACATGTTTCTGTGCATTTGTGCAGGTGTTCTGGGTGGTTGCTTTCTGGCCCAAGTCAAAAGAGTCAACAAGTCTGGTCTAACTGAACACTGAAAGAAAATTCAATTAAATACTGAAATATACTGAATTAAATAACTCTTAAGAAGCTTACTCAGTGGAACAGCATAAATTTTCTTCCAGGGTGTGAGGTAGATTTTCTTCTCTAGCCAATCCAAATACTCCTGACAGTTTTCACTCGGCTGGTCCCATGGTAACTCTATGGAAAAATGCAGCTTACAATAGCAAAATTCTCCACAAAGATGCAGTCTCTGACTGATACACACTGAATACTGTTTTCCTACCTCCAGCTAACATTGCCGTGAGCACAATGCCACAAGCCCAAGTGTCCGCAGGTTGAGCGTGGAATGCTGAGCGTGACATCAGCTCAGGGGCAACATAGGGCAGAGTGCCACACAGACGGGTCAACGCCCGCTCCCGGCCACGGTTGCGGAACATGGTAGCCAGTCCGAAATCAGAAATCTTCAAATTATCTGAGAGAAAACATAAATAGGATATATATATATATATATATATATATATATAAAAATAAAATTATATAGTAAATGTAATTAATAATACACAAATGTTATTAAAATTAGCATTTAAATTTATGCATTTAGCAGACACTTTTATCCAAAGTGACAATATTCATAATTCCAGGTTTATGAGACAACTAGATTAGGAAGAGAAGAGGTCAAATGTAGAGAAGAAACAGAAGAAATAGAAAATAACGTATTATAAATATTATTTTAATTTATAAAACAAACTCAGATGCATTACATCTATCCACTAGAACATAGGTTTTTAATCTTTTAGATGCCACGGACCCATCTTAAGCAACTATATATTTTTCTTATATAAAACCCAGTTTATACTGTGAAAAAGTTAATATTATGTGAAAAATATTATTTGGAAAATATTTAGTTTCTATTATGGTACATTATTTAGGTTTCCTACTTACTATAGCACTGTACTATTAAATTAAATTTTTTATTTTATTTTGCTCGTTTTTTAACATTTATTTTAATGATGATTTAATTTTAAGCACTAAATCTTATTTTTATTTTTAATATTTATTATTTACTTGATTATTATATTTATTATTATTTACATTTTTCCATGGGCTCCCTAGCACTTCCTTGCCACCTGGGAGTCCCCAGACCCCAAAATATATATTCCTGACATAATAATAACAGAATACAATTTTATGGGCGCCATGAAGTTTTATGTCACAGCTATCACCATTACACATATTAGTGTGGCTGGCTGGAACGTTGCACTGACCAATCAGAAGCCAGAATCTGTTTTATAATCACATTTAACACAAGACCATTCAGAGGTACCTTTATCATCAAGAAGAATATTCTCAGGCTTTATGTCACGATGTGTAATCCCAACACTGTGAAGATATTCCTGTAAGTGAGAGATCTAGTTTTACAACAAAGGCAGCTATGGATTGTAAACTGCTCACGAACACACCGGAGTCAAAGAAAAATATTCACAAAACTGACACTTACCACACCAGCTACTAGCTGCTGAAAAAACCTGTGCGCCTCCTTTTCTGGCATCCCAACATCTGGCTCTGTCAGAAATACAGAATCTTCAATATTTGCTCATCGCAAACATTCAGACTCCTCAGATCTACATTGTACTGGAGAAACCCAGTTAATATGTCCTAATCTATGTTTAGCTCACCGATTCTGTCAAAGAGCTCTCCTCCGCTACAGTACTCCAGGAAGATGTACTGTGTCGTCCCCTCACTCCTGTACCCAAAGAAACGTACGATATTTGGGTGTGAAAGCATCTTGCATATGCAAACCTCCTTCTTCACATTCTCTACACAATCCTTGGCTTTTGCCATGTCCACAACTTTCACCGCCACGGCCTCTTCTGTCTTCTTGTTGACCAGCAGTCGCACCCTACAATAATTTGAAGTAGATTAATACATTTTAAAACGAATCAGTTTGAGACTGATAAAAAGGACACTGGTCACTTACTCTCCATACGCCCCCTCTCCAAGGGTCTGCACCACATCCCAGTCTTTAACAAAAGGCACAGCCATGATCTGACCTGTGGGCACAAGTCAGAACATCCTTGCAAACTAGTAGCAATAAGCACTATTTGTAAAAAGAGCATAAAAAGCTAAATTAAAAAAAAGACTATAACACTTACACTATATATATTAGTTTTGAGTAAATAAACATAATGACACACATGCCAAATAAGACTAGGTACGCAATACAGTGAAACGTCAAATCCCATAACCTTGGGCTGTCCCGATGTCAATTTCGTTTAATTTGTCAAATAAACATACCTTAGGAGTCACCTATATCAGTGTTGAAGCTGTCCCATCTGATGCAGGTTGTTTATTTATACTGTTGGTATATTTACAAACACCCGCTATGAATGTCTAGACAGGAGTATCCGTGATAATACAAGCGAGTCCTTCTAAACTTTGGCGCGTTCTGGAGACGTGACATCACCGGAAGCGCTCGGAGAGACAATTTTTAAAATAAAAGCTTACATTAGCAGCGACTTTAAAAATGAGGGGAAATGTTTCATATTAACTGGAGTATTTTATGGTACTTTCGTGTTTGTTTCGTTCGAATTGTATTGTAAAACTGTTCAGTAACTAAGACCATTAAAAAATAAAATATCATTGCAGATATATAAACTAAATAAAGTGAGTTAGATATGTTATTTTATGTGTATTATAGTTTTTAAAGAATATTGGTTAGGAGTAGATGTGTAAATGTTTGATTGCCTGGGTTTTTATTTTTATTTTCTTTTGTAATTTTCGTACAAAAAATAAAAAGTCATATTAAATGTGAGGGCTTTTATTTTGGTATAGTTTCCAACGCTTGAAAACTATACAAAATAAAAGCTCTCTTGTCATGGTGATCACGTCAAATAAATTCACATTCATAATATTAAGACACTTTTTGTGATACGACATTTAATTTTAGCATTTAAATGTATTGTAAAGCATAATTACAAGTTGTCATAATCACCATTGTTATTATCAAATAACAGGAGCTGAAAGTAGACTGATGTCGCATGTCGTTGTTATGGCAACATCAGTTCCCTAAACACAACTATAGCGTTACAGATGAAGGTTTATTTCTAAAGCTAGCTAGACTCCAAGAAAGTGATATATATATATATATATATATATATATATATAAAACAATGTTGACAGCCCACCGAAGCAGGACACGATGCCGGGAAGTAACTGGACCTGGACATTCAGTGGCATTGGTGAGTTATTATTATCATAGACTTAACGTTACATGAAAAGTTTTATCTTTCTTCCCAACTTACTGTAAAATTTGTCTTTCAAACTTTTCAATCAAGATTCCTGTTAATCACTTTCATAATATTTATAGTTACGTTAATGAAAGATAATGCAAATGTAAAATTATGTAAGTGTTAATGTTGATATTTAATGTACATGCATATTATTTAAGTTTTTTTGTTTGTGTTATTATTCAACTTAAATATGTGCATTTCAGAGAGCAAAACATCCTTTACCCAAAGACATAGACGACCTCTTTCTGAGGAGGAGGAAACAGGAGGCAATACAGAATGAAGTGCTGGAGTTTACCAAGGATCAAAGCTCCTGTGATGTGAGAATGCGATGGGAAAGGAACACACAGAGCCAGATGGTGTCGGCCACTATTAGCAGACGTCTACAGGAAGCAAGAGAGCAGTACCAGATGGACATTGATGAAAGGAGGGAAAGGTTTGAATGGAATAGCCTCAATTATTTATTAATCAATTATTTAGAAATCGTCTCATTGTATAGTGTAATGACTTTGGCTCTTTTTTACAGGCTTCGTGAGCTGCTAGAGTCAGAGGAGGGGGAGATCTTCAGGGAGATGGAGGCAAAAAAGGAGACAGTGTTGGAGAGGCAAGCTAAGATGGTTGAAAGAGCCAAGACTCTACGAGAGAGAAGAGAGAGCGAGAGACAGAGACTTGCTGCTGAGAAACTCGATCAGCTCTTCAGGTAGAACGCCGTATCATTAGTGGTTGGACAAACTTGAACTTTGATTCAGACTACAAGATGTTCCATCTTCCTGTGTTTTAGAGAGCAATGTGAGGAGCTGCGTGCCGTGGAGATGATGCGCAGACAGGATGAGGTCTGCACTGAGCGTGCAGCTCAGATCCATACTAAGGAGGAAGTGCAACGGATGCAACAAGAAGAAGACAGACTGTTCTCCCAGATGTGGGAGAGCGACAGGCTGGCCAAAGAGGAGCGTCATAACCACGAGGTTCAACGTCAGAGAGAGAACAACCTCCAGCAGAAGGCATTCCTGCAGGCACAGATGGAAACGACTGAGCAGCAGAGAATACAGGCAAAGCAACTGAAGCAAGAAGAGGCCCAGTTACTGGTACTGAGCATATAATAGGATGAATCAATCAAATCAAGCCGCAGTTATTATAGGGATGCACAATATGTCTGTACCAATATTAGAGATTTTTTAATTGATTCATAATCTGTCGATACTGGTTATTTAATCAGGCATGCTCATTTTCCCTATCTTTAAATTTAGATTACCTTAATGGTCTCTTCAAATTTCTGTAAATGAATGTGTTCTTCTGTAATTGTTGAGTTTGTTTAGTTTTGTATTGTGTTACTAATTCACAAAAATTTATATTAGAACTAATATTTTTTTAATAATGTAAATATAATAGTATAAAATGCATACTTTTGTTATTAAAAAGATATTACATTATATATATATATATATTACAACTTATATTTTTAAATTCTCTCTCTCTCTCTCTCTATATATATATATATAATGGCATTTAATATACACTTATTATATTATTACATCTAAATAAATAAAAAATAAAATATAAATATTAGAACTGATATTTTTGAATAATCTAAATGTATTTACATAGTATTCATTATACAATTATATTATTAAAAATAATATTTAAAAACAATAATAAAAAAATATGTCACTTATAAATATAATCTTTAGCAAATCTCAAAATTAATAAAAATTTTACAAACCGATCATGGTAACACTTTATTTTAAGGTGTCCTTTTTACACGTTACATATACTTACTATTATAATAACAATTAATTATGCATAATTACATGCAAGTAACCCTAAGCCAAACCCAAATCCTAACCCTAACCATATAGTAAGTACATGTAGTTAATTAATATTACTCAGTACTTATATGTATAATTACACTGTAACAAGGACACCTTAAAATAAAGTGTCACCCCGAACATTATAATGCCTTGATGCATTAAAATTTTTTTAAAAATATAATAAAACTTTGAAGCTGTGGCACTGACTCTCGTGAACATTGTGCTCCTTAGAGAGAGCACAGGGAGATGCTTCGCCTGGAGGCAGAGAGAGAACACAGACAGAAGCTTCAAGACCAGGAGAAACGACGTAAACAACTGGACCTTTCGCTTCGGCTGAAGATGAAGCGCCTGGCACAAGATCGGCAGGAAGAGCTGGCTCTGGATATGAGCATCCTGGAGCAACTAATGACTGAAGAGCGAGATGAAAAGCAAGATGAGGTCCTCAAAAAGGTTAGATTTCAGCCCACACTGTGGCCATTTTTGACCATCAATGTAAATTCTCTCATTATTCATAAAATGTTCTTACTAAACAGCTGGAGCGTCAAGAGGAGCAGCGCAGGTACCGGGAGTATCTGGCAGAGCAGCTAGAAGAGCAGAAACGGCAAGAAGCTGAGACGGAGCAACTGTTTGAATCAGAGCTGCAGCAGGCCTGGGCCCGCAGGGAGGCACAGTGGCGTCAGGAAAAGGCAGCGAGGGACCGACTCATGAAGGATGTCATGGACACTCGCCGATTGCAGATCCAAGAGAAGTGTAAGGAAATTGCTTTAAGATCAGCCATTTTCACACATACACGCACACACACACACACACACACACATATATATATATATATATATATATATAAAGAAATTCATACTTTTTTGAGCTAGGACACATTCAATTGATTGGAAGTTACAATAAATACATGTATGATGTTACAAAACATCCTTTTCAAATAAATTAGGTTCTTTTCAATGTTCTATTCATCAAAGATTTCTGAAAAAATGTATCATGGTTTCCACAAAATATCAAGCAGCACAGCTGTTTTCAACTGATAATAATAATAATTGTTTTTGAGAACCATGTCAGTATATTTTAAAATGAACAAAAAAAGGTTTATAAAATAATAATAGATATTTTATTACATATTTATTACACACAATAACATAGTTATCACATTTAATAATTTTTTGTTTTTAATGCATTTTTGATCACATAAATGCTACCTTGGTGAGCAAAAGAATCTGCAAAAACATTTTTTTTAAATCTTACTGACCCCAGACTTTGCAGGGTAGCACGGTGTATGTATATATTCATAATATTTATTATGAAGGTGCTATTTTTCTCTTCAGTGAATGAGAATATGCAGAAACAGGCTGAGCCTTTCAAAGAGAGAGAGGAGCTTGACCGAATCCTTCAAGAGAACAAATTGCTGGATGAAGAAGAAAAGAATCGGTAGGTTTTTGTCAAAGTGGTTCAACTTAATCACACTTATACCAAAACATACAAAAATTATTTCACTAATTTCTAGTTTAAGGGAGGCCACTCAGGAATATCAGGCTGATTTATTGGCTCAGATGCTGTACCGCCAACGCATTCGTGAAGCAGAACAAGCTGAGAAAGAATACGAGTTCCAGAAGGGTCTGATGTACCAGGAGCAGTACAATAAGAAGATTCAGGACATCCTTTCAAGGCCAATATCCAGCACCACAGCAGTTCATCCCTTCAGGAGACGAGAGCGCTCCAACTTTGGTGCACAGTTGGCATAAATCCATCCAGTTCTATTCACAACATAAGTAACATTCATTAGTATGAAATATTCTAAAAATATTAGTATGAAAATACATTAAAAAAATAAAAATAAGGAACTTTCAGTGAACTTGCATGCTTAAATATCTTGCTCATTTCTGAATAACTATATGTTGTATGTTTTACACATTTGTGTGTTCTGTGATCAGATTCATTATCCATGTGCTGAAATTTGTATTCAGACAAGTCTGACTGGATTAACTTGTTTTGAGGTAGATATTTGCATGTTTAAAAGTTAATTATTTAAAGAAAGCCAATCATTTCAATGAATAGACTGTGAATAGTGTCTTCTTTTTGCAAATCACTCAGACTTACTTATACACCGCATCTAACACCAACCATCTAATTAAAAACAATGGAAAGCTGTCCAGGGTTGCTATGAAACATGTACAGTACATAATACCAGGAGAGGTCAAAAGGTTAAGGTTTAAAAATGACAGTTAACATACAGAATATTTCCATAATGATTTAGCAACGGTGTTTTAGACCAGTAAGCTGCTGGGTTAAATGATTAGAGGGTGAATGAGTGGGTGGGTAACTTTTGATGCTGCAAATACCACGACAGCAT